CAGACAGTTGCTGCTGATCAGATTTCTGCAAACATTGTCTTATTATTTGTTTATGTGACAGATGGATGTTATCGCTTAATCATGTATACTAAATCATAAATACACATAATCACACAAAACTGAGATTTGTCTGGTCACAAAAATTTATGCATAATTGAAATTTAATGATTATTTTTATTTTGCATTTAACTATTTCAGAGGAGAATGAAATCGCTCACTTGGCAAAAATTTACAATAACTAACTTTTTAGCATCATTTGCAGCTACCTTTCACAAACAAAGTATGGTCATGGCCAGGTTTTAACTGTATATTATTAGCGCTAGCAAGATTATTAAAAGGAATATCTTATTCTTGCCTGAATATGCATGAAATATTTGCCACTGGACATTCAAACAAACATCTTAATACTGCAATTCAAACCATGTAACATTTTCCCATTGATAAAAATATTGCAAAAATTTCTTAATTTACAGTTATTGGTTATGAAAAGAAATTCTTTTGATTCCAGAACACTGAAATAACAATAATCTGAATTTAACGGTCATACTTGACCAATTTTCACACAATTTCCCCGTTAACTCTGACATTATAAATGAAAGCAAGTAATAACCACTAATTTCTAATTAAGTTGAGAAAGATTTGGATTATGTTCAAATTTATTATATAACTTTAAATGATGTGTAATACTTTAGCAAGACATCAAGTGCAGCTATTGTATATGTTTTTCGTAATAAGTTGCTTTATTTATCCTTCGCAGGATTTATTGATTTGTATGTAACACTGACATGACGGATTATGATTTAATTATTTAGATCTTCCTTGATGTTTTTTGCATAAGTTTTCAAAAGTTCATTCTAACTATACTATTAAACTATCATATGACGAAAGCTATAGTACTTGAGTACATGTAAAATGTACTTTTCAAAGTATCAATGAATTTTCTGAGTACTTACAATTTATTATGAATTTGCTAAACCCATTATTTTGCTAACTCTGTTTTAAAGCTTTAAAGCATATTAAATTTTCAGAGGTGGATTTAGTGGGGGCAGGGGTCCCAAGCCCCCTCCTTGAAGGAGCTTCATACATGATAAATGTATAGACTTTTTACAAGTATCACTCCAGACATTTTCTTCACACATAAAATCGATCATTTCACAACCTCTTCATAAAACATATAAATATGCTGATTGTTCTTCGTCTATAATGTGGATTCATTTTTTATTAGTTGGATACCAATTTTCGTGGATTTCTTTGGTACAGGGGAACCACGAATTTAAATGTTCAACGAATTAAATGCCTATCTGCCTAAGAATCAAGCAGTGGTGAAAACATGACAAACAAAAACCCACTCAGCATTACATTAATTTAAGTTCAGAATGTATAATGGTGCATGAATATAGCATTCGTTTCCTTTCCCTGTTCTGGTAATTCAAGATATAATTTGGTTGAAATGCACTAGAAATTAACAATTAAGGGGAGATAACTCTGTAATTTGCTATCATTCTAACCAAAATTTATCTAGATATTTGTCGAATTACCAGACATGCAGAAACGAAAGACCTACCATTTCTAATTCAGGATGAGGGTACCTTCGAACTAGGGTGGTTAGGTCGGTGGGTTTTTTTCAGCCATGTTTTTGAAATTTTTCTAAATTGCCTGATTCTTACAAAGACTAGCACTTAAAACTATTCCTTAGCAATATGTTCAGACTTTTACAAAAATACGAAATCAAATATGTAAACACGAAAATACAAGTTTTCCTCAATCCATGAAAATTAATACCTTTGAAAAGAAATGAATCCAAATAACTGCAAATAAAAAGACTTGAATGGAGATTTCTCAGGTTCTAACTGTTACTGTAAATGGAAGGATGAAGGTTAAAAATCCAGTGGCAAATATCCCATGCATATTCCAGACGAGAACATGCTAATGTGATATCAACGTGAACCCTACTTTACAGTACACTGACATGCTGAATACAGTCTGCAGAATGACATGTCACCCTTCCTGACACATTATTCCAGAAACTGAACGGATCAGTCATTGCATTTAAGTTTTAAACAAAATCAAAGCAAATGTGCAAAGTGTGAAATATTAAACAACACTTGTGCTAGGAAAGTAGTATTTATGAGTAAAAGTAATGACTGATCCATGACCATACTTTGTGTGTGAAAAACATTTGTAGCACAAGTGTTGTTTAATATTTCACACTTTGCACATTTGCTTTGATTTTGTTTAAAACTTAAATGTACAAACAATTCTAAAAGACCAATAAATTGAATATTTTACATAACAACCAGCAGTAATACCCAGATGAAAATGCATCAATCTGATGTGTCATGTGACACTCTAGAGAATACGGCAGGATGAATTCAATCACTGCTGTAGGTGATATCTATATTAATTCTTTTGTAGGGAAAAATTAAATGCTTACAACTTATTAATGCTATCAAGAGAGTTTACTGAAGTGACATTAATAATTTGTCAATAAACTATAATAAAATTCATTTGACACAGATTAATGTGCTATTTGATCACTGTGGTAAAAGACACAAACTGTGTGTTTTATTGTACATTCATCAACAAACAGTAGTGAGTACATGCAAGGTGATTTAATTCAAAAATCACGCTGGCTGCTGTTGAGTGAATCACTAGTTAGTAACAGGGTGATAGCTGTTGATTTACAAACCTGCCATATAAATATTAAGTGATTATATATAGAGAGATATTTCAGAGTGAATTACCAGAAGTTGTTGTTATTAAATATTTATGCATAGGAATCTAGTCCTGATTGATTGATTGAATGTTGTTGCTTTAAGTCCAGTGGCAAATATTTCATGCATGTTTAGGATGAGAATCTAGTCATGATTGAATGATTGTCGTTTCTTTTTGTTCAGTGGGAAATATTTCATGCATGTTCATGAAGAGAATCTAGTCATGATTGAATGATTGTTCTTTGCTTTATGTCCAGTGGCAAATATTTTATGCATGTTCATGACAAGAATCTAGTCAGGATTGAATGATTGTTGTTTGCTTTATGTCCAGTGACAAATATGTCATGCATGTTCAAGATGAAGAGAGAGTCTTAATGGAAGATCATTGCTTCTCTTTGTTGAGTTCTATATTCATTCACATTTGTGTTTACTCAATGTAATTAAGAGATTGGTATACTGTTGTGCTGACACCAGCAGATCACATAGATATATTACTTGACCTTGGTTTTTTTTAGGATAACTGATGTGCATTGATTGCTGTATACATGTCTAATTAACACATATATCCAACACAAAGATCATATTTTCATGTAATTTCAATCATTTGTTTAGCACTTGAAAGTCCAGGTATTTTTTTTTTTATTTTATGTCCCTCCACTATTTTGTGGAAAGACCTACTGTATTTGTTCCGATTATTTTCTTTCTTCTTCCACCAAATTTCAAAACCGTAACCGTAAAAGAAAGCAACAAATTTATTTTACTAAATTGCTTGTTATATCCTCAGGATGATTTGTCAATTTTAACCGAATCAATTCGTAGACTCCATATGACTGTTATTTCCCCTTTTGAATTTGACATAAGTGATATGTCAATGTATCACATGAATGGTAAGTAATACAGACCTAAGGTATACTATGTGTATTTGAGGTCCTGGGTTCATAAAATAAATTTGAGGTCAAGGTCAAAGGTCAAGGTCATGTTCTAAATTTTGACTTTTCATTGTTCTGAGATCTCGTCTGACAATCTTAGAGATATATTTAAAAGAACTAGTGCAAAGTGTTTGCCTCAATGTGATGAAGATATGATACATTTGGTCTGAAACAATCAAATGACATCTTATAGGAGTTATTGTCCCTGAAATGGTTAAATTTAAGATTAATTGATTATTACTCCAACTTGGTACACAATAAAGCCATAGGGTCTTTTGCAAAATGTTTGATGACATGTGACAAATATAAACCGGAAGTGACCTTTAGTAAACCGGATGTAGCACTTTTTGCACTTATTTCATGGAAAAGTACCTAGAAACTATATATTTTTAAATACGTATACATAATCCTATCATTTGAGACTGGAAGTGACCTTCAATAAACCGGCAGTACCTAATATCTCCCTTATTACAGACAAAAGTATATAGAAACCATATATTTTTGGAATCAGTGTGAATGAAGCTTTCATGTGAGACCGGAAGTGACATTTTTTAAAGCGGAAGTTGACAATTATCTCCCTTAATTCGGGGTCTGACATGACGTAAACCAACCTATTATATCAAAGGTTTTGCTGCATGAATTGTATGAAATTTCTTACATCTTTTTGTAGAAAGTTGAGGAATAAATTTTCATGATTGTAGAATGCACCAGTTTAAGACTGCAATGATTTTGATACTTGAAATTTCTAATGCCTTTGGAATTAATCATGTTACTTAAACTTACTTTTCATTTTTGAGAAAATAAAAATAAACCATAACTTTCAAGCTGAATTTAAATTTTTGATTTACAATACATGTTTTTCTTCCTACTATCGATGACAGTAAATCACTGATTATTGAGAATCATACTGCAACTTAGGACTAAGTGTCTAATCTTTTAATTGTTCGAAAGAGAAGACACTTACATGCATGTGTAACACGTTGTGTAGTAAATAACAGTATTTTCATTTGTGAAAAAATCTTTTTTGGACAAAATTCAAGACAGCGTTAGTTTTAAAATTTAAGTTATCACAGCTTTTCCAGAAAATTTTATAATTAAGAAAAACCTCTTTACTTGGTCAATATTTTTTGCTGTCATGTGTTGCTCAGGTAAAATTGATAAGCAAGCATATATCCCTTCGGCCATTAAATAGGAACTTGCTCTGCCCTCAATGGATTATCATACAATACAATTTGGCAGCTTAATAAACAAAATAATAATTTTTAAATCTAGATTTAGTAACCAATAATTAAAAATATGCAATTTCTGTCAAAAAGGCATAACAAGAGTGCACACGCTGCTGGCTGAAATGTCTCACCTTCTTTACTAATCATTTATATTATGTTGATAGTCCTAAATATAAAGCTTTATTACAACTGTCACATAAACTTAACAATAACCAAGTAAACTAAACATTGACCAATGAACCATGAAAATGAGGTCAAGGTCAGATGAACCATGCTAGGCAGGCATGTACAGCTAACAATTCTTCCATACAACAAATATAGTTGACCTATTGTTTATAGTTTAAGAAAAACAGACCAAAACACAAAAACTTAACACTGAGCAATGAACCTTGAAAATGAGGTCAAGGTCAAATAAAACCTGCCTGACTGACATATAGATCATAAAATATTTCCATACACCAAATATAGTTGAACTATTGCATATAGTATTAGAAAAAAAGACCAAAACTCAAAAACTTAACTTTGACCACTGATCCATGAAAATGAGGTCAAAGTCAGATGACACCTGCCAGCTAGACATGTACACCTTACAATCATTCCATACACCAAATATAGTAGACCTATTACATACAGTATAAGAAACACAGACCAAAACACAAAAACTTAACACTGAGCAATGAACCTTGAAAATGAGGTCAAGGTCAAATAAAACCTGCGTGACTGACATATAGATCATAAAATATTTCCATACACCAAATATAGTTGAACTATTACATATAGTATTAGAAAAAATGACCAAAACTCATAAACTTAACTTTGACCACTGAACCATGAAAATGAGGTCAAGGTCAGATGACACCTGCCAGCTAAACATGTACACCTTACAATCATTCCATACACCATTTATAGTTGACCTATTGCATATAGTATTAGAAAAAAAGACCAAAACTCAAAAACTTAACTTTGACCACTGAACCATGAAAATGAGGTCAAGGTCAGATGACACCTACCAGTTGGACATGTACACCTTACAATCATTCCATATACCAAATATAGTAGACCTACTACTTATAGTATCTGATATATGGACTTGACCACGAAAACTTAACCTGGTTCACTGATCCATGAAATGAGGTCGAGGTCAAATGAAAATTGTCTGACGGGCATGAGGACCTTGCAAGGTACGCACATACTAAATATAGTTATCCTATTACTCATAATAAGAAAGAAATTAACATTACAAAAAATGTTGACTTTTTTTTCAAGTAGTCACTGAACCATGAAAATGAGGTCAAGGACATTGGACATATGACAGACGGAAACTTCGTAACATAAGGCATCTATATACAAAGTATGAAGCATCCAGGTCTTCTAGCTTCTAAAATATAAAGCTTTTAAGAAGTTAGCTAATGCCGCCGCCGCCGCCAGATCACTATCCCTATGTCGAGCTTTCTGCGACAAAAGTCGCAGGCTCGACAAACACTAGTATAATGTCCTATTCCGACATTTTCAAAATTATTTTTTTAATGAAATCCCAAAATTTTACGAGACAGTCTTGACTGGAAAATATAAGTTTCTAGACCCTTGAGGATTAAAAGTATTTGAAACTAAGATCGATGTTGACTACCTGATCACTATGATGATTAAAAATAAATGAGACAAAGATGTTTATTGACTACCTGAATACCTGATCACTACCGCCTTGATCCAATATATCCTTTTATCTATATATTAATACCTGTAAGCCAGACATTTTATGATAATACATATCTTTGAATGATGACAAAACCCACATGTCCTGTTCAAAGGGAGATAATCAGTATTTGTTCTCAAATAACAAAAAATGAAGATTTTACTTCCATTCTCAAAAATATAAATAATTTCAAGTTGTGTTCTTATATATGTAATTCAAGAATTAATGGCAATCTTGATTTCATAAACTTATATTTCAAGCTATAATTAGTACTGCAATCTCTAATAGTAATACTACTCAAATTATTGAACCAGTCACAAAAAATAAAGCCAAGGTTTAAAACTGCTGTCACTGATCTATCCTACATGGGATACTAGGGTAGCAAGCTAAAATTAAAATGCCAATGCCTCAATTTTTATAAACAAAACTCTTCATGTCTTTTAGGTCTTATACATCCATGCTTTCATGGCGCTGAGGGTTCCTGGTGAAGGTAAATCCAGAAAAGCGCTTTGAACACATAAAATTCATAGTATTACTTGCATTTTTATTTTCAACTGATAGCTGTTATTGTACAGTATTACAGAATTTTTGGTAACCTATGTAAACCTGACGGTAATTTTTTGTTTCCCATAAGTCAGTTGGATAAAGGTTTAGTCAACAAAGGACCCAAGACTTGTCCAATGAACAAGTTATAATTGTGTTTACATATTCTATAATTCCCAAAAAATTCTAATTTGACAATTTCTACCAATCTCCTTTTCAATTATCTCAGTGAGCAAGCTCAAATATCTAGACAACACTAATAATTGTGGTGTATAGCAAAAAATCAAGAACAGTAATACCTATTTCTTTTTATTTACACAAAAATAATTATCATTTTCTGAAATTTTATTTCATATATTCACCTGCAGGTTTTTATTTTCTCTCTTCATATAATTATGAACTAGTTTACCCTTTATAATACAATTTAAAAAAAAAAACATTTTGAACAAACTGCAGATTGAGTACAAGAAATTATCATGATTTTCAAACATGTTAAAGAAACATGATAAAAACTATGTTTTGACAGAGTATGAAAAACAAAAATGTGTCCATAGTACAAGGATGCCCCACTTGCACTATCATTTTTTATGTTCAGTGGACCGTGAAATTGCGGTCAAAACTCTAATTTGGCATTCAAATTAGAAAGATCATATCATAGGGAACATGTGTACTAAGTTTCAAGTTGATTGGACTTCAACTACATCAAAAACTACCTTGACCAAAAACTTTAACCTGAAGCGGGACAGACGGACGAACGGAAGGACGAACGAACGGACCAGAAAACATAATGCCCCTCTACTATCGTAGGTGGGTCATAAAAATTTAATTGCAGAATATTTTCAGTCAAATTCTACCTTACAACAATCATTACTGGTATCTGACGTTGAACTATGTCAATTGCACTCAAATACAGAGTCTGACTTGTTATCGAGAAGAAGATGAACCTACCTTTTTCTATGAATTCCAACATTTTCAAATATGATGTGGTCAACTTGACAACAGAACTTTTGTCCATTTTCTCTAAATCTTCATTAGGGAATGGCAATGCCTCAATTATATTGTTGAATTCCACAGCTTCTTTGTCTCTCCTGTTTTTAGCAGCATTCTTGGATTTTTCGGCCCTACAAAATAAATGCATTTTACAATTAAGGATGTACTTAGGTGAAATTAAATAAATCTAGAATTTAAAATTGATACTATAATTCAGAAGAGCATTAGTTAAGGAACAAAATATGCAAAAAATATTGATAGGTTATGTTTCGAATATTTAATTATTTAAGATGGCGGAAAAAGGCTGACTCTGACTTTTACCTTATATTTTCATTGGTATTATTTGGGTCTCAAATCGAAGGAAAAGAAATCTAGAATCTGCTTAAATTTTGCTAAATGACCTTTTATGAGATATTGAAGTCTTATATGAAAAGAAAAATGGGTGTTATGGGGCAAACTAATTTACCCTGTATCATAGGAAAAAAAAAACAAGGAGTCCGAACATCTGACAAAGATTCCTAAACCTGACCTAAGTATATCCTTAAGGTATGATAGTTTACCTGGTAGTGAAATTCAAATTGTGCATTGGAGTAAAAATTGTGTAATAAAATAATTACTACCAGATTGCCTGTCTTCCAATTCCAGGACACATTTTCACACAAAAATGTTAAGCAAGATTTTATCCTAAACTCCTACAAAATTACCAGATATGTGTGGACCTTCACAAAACAAAGTTATTCCTATAAACTATACTGTACAATTCTTTTTTTTCCAAATTACACAGTTCTGCCTTAAAGCCACCGCTCTTGGATAGGTGGTTGAATGCTATTACTCCATTTTATGTGGTGGCAAGTTTATCAATTTTAAACATTGTTAAAATAAATTTTACCTTGTAAGTTTTCTGTGCTTTGCTCCTCCTTGAGATTCCATCATTTCATCGTCATCATCATCAACGATATCTGGACTGCTATCCTCATCAAGTAATGGCTTTAACCTGAAACAGAAGAAGGTCAACTTGATTAGTTCTATACACTCACTTTCTAATTTCACAAATGAAAAGGTGCATTAAACTTGAGCTCGTGACTGTTCATAAAAGTATAAATTTATCTTGATATTCTATAAATAAGAGTAAATAAAATCTCATTAAAGTATACATTTTATATATTTTTTTTTAACAATCCCAATTAAACAGTCAACTTTTGACCAAAAAATCAAACAGCAATATATAGCTTTCCGCTACTTTACATTGTGAAATACAAAGGTTTTATCCTCTTTAATTACAATTTATACAGAAAATATAAACAAACATCCTACAATATTGTCTTTATTTGTGAATTCTGATACAATGTAGATCATTAGGAAATGTCAGTTAGATTTGACACGAAACCATACAAGATACTGAAATCAATACCATTGGAACATCTAACATGTTTAATGGTTAAGATGATAACCTATGTTCAGACATTTCCTTGCTGTAGCTTCCTCTTTAAATTATCTGACTGTTTTCATTCCTTAGAAAGAAACAATTACACACTAAATTTATTATCATATTTTCTGTTGTAAAATTATGTAAAGGTTCATCTTTTTTTTTTTTAAATTTCAATAAGAAATGTATTCTGCAACTGGATTGATTGATTAATCGGTGTTTAATGCCACTTTCATCACAATTGTGCTATTTCTTTGCGGTCAGTTTTTAATTGGCAGAGGAAGCAGGAGTACCCTGAGAGAACCATCGACCTTCAGCAGGAAAACTCACAATCCTAGTCAATTAAGATTGGTGTGCAGGATTTGAACTTACAGCCTCAGTATTGTCTAGCCAGTGATACAGTAGATGGACTACTTAGACCACTCAGCCACCACGGCCCCCCTTTGGCTACTGGATATGATGATTATAAAAGCCAAATGAGAACAAGAACATTGAAAGACCATAGTTCAGATTTTCAGATTTGCTTGAAAAAGCCCTCAAAACTTCAAAATCCATTTCTGAGCATCATATTACCCTCTGAACATCCGGATTTCCTCGTGCGACGTTACGAGCAGTTAATGTAAGTAACGTTTTGAACGTTTTTAATTTGCAATAATAAAGCCACTATCGTGTTGAAAATTATTTCAAATCAAAACATAAATAATAGATAATTATCTTTTAATCAGTACTGTTTATCAATGTTTTAAATTATGTCGTGTTTAGTTATGAAAATAAGAGGTTAAGAAAAATGTATGTAAATTAATGTTTTATGTTCAGGTTTTTAGTAGTAAACAAAATATAGGCAGTGGAATAAAACATTCATTTCCCTTGGCTTAGGGAGATATGAAGATTTCTTCACCCTCAAAAATTCATATTACCCTCAGGCAAGGCTCTCTGGAAATATTAATTTTCTTGGGTGAACAAATCTTTATATCTCCCCCAGGCACCGGAAATAAATGTATAATATTCACTCAATTAACAAGGAATAATAAATATTATTACTTCACCCCTCAAAAAACAGCAGAATAACAAAAAATTCAGTATGCAATGTATTTATGCCATCTGCAATTATTTTCTTCTTCCAGATTACAAGTGGAACTCTGTACTTAAGTGTAATCGACATAGTTCAATGTCAAAATAGAAGTAGTGATTGGTTTAAAGTAGATCTTGACTAACACTTTCTGCCGATACTGTTTTTGCCTACTCATTCTAAATATAGTTTTTATCATGTCCCTAGCTTTAAACAATTTAATAAAAAGCATACTTAGTTCCCAGGAAATGCCTTTACCAAGTCAGGAATATGACAGTTCATTTGGTGTGTTTGAGCTTTTTATTTTGCCATTTGAAAATGTTTGATGTGAGACTTTCCGTTTTCGAATTTATCTTGGAGTTCGTTATTTTTGTAATTTTACTTTTTTCAGACCCAAAACAGAAATTTTTTTTTTAGAACTATGTACGACAAATTTATACATGGCACACTGTGGAGAAGACCATCCTCCAAGGAATATGACTTCAGGCCAGCCTGGTTTTGAACAAACATGTGCAATGAATTTCATATCTTTATCCATGAAATAACCCGAATTTCATAACTATTGAAATTTCTTTCTGAAAAAAATTGGACAGGGATTCTGTGTTCCCAGGTCTATTTGTAATCTGGTAGAAAAAATGTCAATTGTAATGAAACTGATACTGAAATCAATAATAATGAAATAACATACAAATAATCAGCTCTATCGATCACTGCTGAGGATTGAAAGGTGTCGAACAGAAAATTGTTATCGAATGAAAAAGTTTTCGTCTATCGGATCATAATAATTAAATCATAAAAAAGTCTACATCATGATACAAAAACCATAGCTTAAAACTTCAGCAATGACTCAGAATACAATTAAATGCAAGCCAACAGCACAATATTCATAAGGATGGCTACAGACAGAGGGAAAAAAAATATTTTATAAAAATTTCTTAAGTCTAATGGCCTTAATTTGGTTAAAAAAAAAGAGAAGGTCCTAAATGATGGATACCAAGTGAAGCAAGATCTGCTTACTCTTTTGGAGCACCTGAGATTAGCCAAAGTTTTTGGTGGGTATCTGCTGTTCAGTCTTTAAATTTTCTATGTTATGATCTGTGGACTTGCTTGTCTTTTCGTCCCCAATCATTTCTTGCCATAGCTTTGTCAATTTCCTTACAAGTTAAGAGTTTTGAATATCCCCTTGGTACAATGTACTTCCCGTCCCTTTTTTACATTACATTTTATCATTATGAAAGCATTTCTTAAGCTGTTGGTTCAAGATTTTACTTTTTAAGTGCAAGGGGCACTACTCATCGATAAATTTATTGATTGAAATCAAAACTTATACTTGATACATGTATGTAATCTTTATAAGAAAAATGTCTGTTTATCAATAAAGAGATGCACCAAAATCACATGATACACATGTTGAAATTGTTACAAGAAAAAAATATGACTATTAAAAGTCCAATAATTCTAAAGCAATGAACCAGATAAATTTCAAAATCAAAAGGCATTTTATATTCACCAATCCTGTCAACAGTGTCAAGTTTATAGTGATTTAGTTTGTAGAAGTACATTCTGTTCTTGACACTTTCAAAACTCAGAACAAAGATGGAATATGTGAAATCACAAAATCACTAACATAAAAATAACTGGTATAAATTTTTTTCTTCGTTTTGTTGAAGAGCTCTATGATGCATAATTAAGTGTGCACATGCATACCTGAACTTCTGTAACCCAATAAATGGAATCAAATTGCGCCACATTTACCTGCATTTTACATGTAACAGGTTATCAATTAACATACATAGAGGATAATGTATTGTTTCCTCCTTTAGTATGAACTGTAATTCCTTCAAATTCGAGCAAATAACGGACCTGAAGCATTCTAATCTCATTACAACGAACGACTTACTGCTTCACATCTGTCAATTTTTGTGTTTTTAGATACTCTCACAAAGTTTCAGGCCACGACATACATAAAAATCTGAAGTGCTAGCTCAGAATCTGCAAGAAGTCAACATGATTCGGAAAAAAGAAATTACTTCGCTCTAGAAATGTACAAAAAAACCAGTGAAGAGAAGTGAGCAGAAAGAAATATGTTTCATCTTTAATTAATAAATACAGCCTTTGGTTTAATCATTAATGTTGAACCGAGACATATTATAGTTTTAACTATGTATATATGAATGAAATTTTAATTCAGCATATTTTTTATATTAAAATGACTTTAACTCCGCCAGTCGGTAAACTGCTGGTCCCAATATTGGATAAAGGAAGAGGGCAGTCAATCATTTAGTATATATATATATATGGACTGGTGTACAAATTTTTGCACCTCCTGTTTGCGGTATTCCATCTTTTCCACAAGTTTATTGTTTTCTGTTTGGTAATAAATTAATAATAAGTTTTATTTTGTTACATCTTGTGATCCATTTATTTGGCAATCGCCAATGGCAGTCAGCAGGGTTTAAGAATATCAGTTGTTCAACCTGCTAGTCAAATGCGTTATGTTAAAATATACTTTTTCACTCATTTGGTCTTTTGGAAAATGTTGTTTGTGCTGTATTTGGACCCCTCTACCAAGAAATTTGTTTTGCATGCACACATATAAAAATTGCGTTTTTTTATCCAACACAATCATAGGTTTGAACATTGTTTTCAATTTAGACTTTTACATCTCATTTAATCAGGTTAAATAATAATTTGACTCAAATTGTTTTGATGTAAACCAGTTAAAAAAGTGGGAAGCAAAGTAAATAAACTGCTTCGCTGAGCGCAGTTAGTTACATGTACGCCAGCAGAAGTCCAACCCTGAACAGTTGGGGCAAAAATGGACACAATATTCAAGCTTGATTCAGGTCTGAATTTGGATTGTCATTAAATATTTAACATATTATAGGTTTCTGAATAAATGTAGTCAAAGATCTTGAAATTGGTTATATGAATTGGAATTTATATTCAATTAAAGATTTCTTGCTGTTGTGCAATACTTAGTAAATCTGTTGTCAGACTATAAACAAATAAAGTTCAATTAATTCTCAATGTCATATTATAAATTTATGAAAATAAAAAGGGAGCTTACATCAATAGATATAAACAATTCACCAAAGTTTCATGAGAATTGGTGACAGCATTTTTGAGTTATTGTCCGAAAACTGGAAAATCCCCCCTTTTTTTATGAATAAAACCCTGTAACTCGGAAACGTAAAATCTTAAATTTACAAAAATTGAAAGGGAGCTCATGTCAATAGATATAAAAAATTCACCACAATTTCTTGCAAGTTGGTGAAAGCATTCTTGACTTATTGTCTGAAAACTGGAAAATCCCCCTTTTTTTAATGAATAAAACCCCATAACTCGGAAACGTAAAATCTAAATTTTATAAAAAACGAAAGGGAGTTCATGTCAATAGATGTAAACAATTCACCAAAGTTTTATGCAAATTGGTTAAATCATTTTTGAGTTAATGTCAGACATGTTGACGACGGACAAACGGACAACAGTATACCATAATACGTCCCTCCCGTAAACAGGCGTATAAAAACATCAAACCATGTCTGGAACCACTTTTCCTGTCAGGTGAATAGGTAAATCTCTCCTGTCAGACAATTAACTGACCTTGATAGTAATATAATATAAATAAGAAAATGTGGTATGAGTGCCAATGAGACAACTATCCATCCAAGTCACAATGTGTAAAAAGTGTACATATACAACTATTTTTCGCGAAAGGGGCATTTAATTATTTTGTTCTATATTATTTCCTTATATCATTTTTATGACCAGCAAAGTTCAATATTACATTATTCATTATTTATACCATTCACTAGTCCATATTAATAACCATCAGTGATAAAGATATCACAACTTTTAATAACTTATTTGACAATGTATGAGGGGGGGTAGGAGGGGTCCTGATCCCAAAATCCCGGGCTTAAAAACATGGAATCCTGAGGTCCCGAATTTAAAAAAATTTAAATCCCAACATCCCAAAATTCGAAAAAAGAATTCCCGGATCCCGAAAGGATCAATCCCGAAATCCCGAGCTTAAAAACACCCGATCCCGGAGTCCTGATCAAGGTCCTACCCCCCCCCCCCCCATGTATGCAACAAGGTGAAAGTAAATAAAATACAGACAGACAAACAAGAAAAACTACAAACAAACTTGATAACTTAAAATTGAGTAATTTTGATTAAAACTAGAAAAGAAGCTACTTGCTCTGAGAGGGTTAGCAGAAGTTGAAATCATGACATTACAGCAACTTGTAACAAAGTCAATATTGACCAAAACAAACATCTATAACTATCAAAGACTATCAAAATCAAACACAAATCTAATTGAGAAAAAAAATCTCCTCTTGGTCCACCACTGTGGTTACCTTGTTTTGTATTCTTTTCAATCTTAACATCTTCATTTGCCATTTGTCCCATTTCTTTTTGTATCATGTACTAATAATTTTCACAAAGTTATAATTTTCAAGGGAAAAGAATTTAATTTACCAAGTTCTATCTCATGAGTTAGGCCTTTATTATAATTCAATGTAAATAAATTTATTTTAATTTTCGTGAAAAGTATTGCTTCATGAGGATGAAAAAAGATATTGAAAAAAATCCCAGATATGATGATTAGTAACTTCAACCAGACAAAGAATGAATATAATAGTATTAACAAAATAAGATATGATAGTAAGGCCTAATAAAATAATACCTGTGTTACCACTAACCTGCTGAAATAAAATGCTCAGCTGGGCGCAGCTTGATACAACCGCAGAGGTCACACCCTGAACAGTTGGGGCAAGTATGGACACAACATTCAAGCTTGATAGTTGATACAGCACTGAATTTGGATTGTGATTAAATATTTGACACAGCATAGGTTTCTGACACAGAATGAATGTGGTCTAAGAACTTAAAAAAATTTTATTTACCTATTCAAACCATATCATTATTATTTGCTTTTATATATAAATCAGAAATAACCAATTTAAAATGGAAAATTTTAAAGAAAAAAAAATCCCCCCCCCCCATTTTTTGAACCCCCTTATGATTCATCACCCCCAAACTCAATCCAAGCCTTCCCTTTAAGGTGTGGTACCTTGAGTACAATTTCAGAGAGATCCATACACTTGAACACAAGTTATTGTCTGGAAACTAAAATGCTTGTTTTTGGCCACTTTTTGGCCCCTTATTCCTAAATGTTTAGGGCAATTACCCCCAAACTCAAACCCAGCTTTCCCTTTGTGATATGGAACCTTGCAGTACAATTTCAGAAAGATCCACACACTTACACACAAGTTAGTGTCATGAAACTAGAAAAATGCTTGTTTTTTGCCCCTTTTTTGGATCTAATTCCTAAAGTTTTAAGGCAATTACCCCCAAAATCAATCCCAGCATTCCCTTTGTGATATGGAACCTTGTGGTACAATGTCAGAGAGATCCATACACTAACACACAAGTTATGTCTGGAAGTTACAAAAATGCTTATTTTTGGCCCCTTTTTGGCCCCTAATCCCTTAACTGTTGGTACCATAACCCCCAAAATCAATCCCAACCTTCCTTTTGTGGTATTGAACCTTATGGATAAATTTCATAGAGATCCATTCATTTAAACTAAAGTTAGAGTGCGAAAACCAATGTGTCTTCGGACGACCACGACGACAACGCCAACGTCATACCAATATACGACCGCAAATTTTTTTTGCAGTCGTATAAAAATTAGGGAAGATACAATGTAGGTAGCCAAATACAGGGGAAAGATTCAGACCTTAATGCTTTTTCAAAATGACAAAAAATAACTTTAGAGGTGGCACTCAAAATAAAGGTATGTAGGGTTAGAGGAAACGAGTATTTTTTAAATTAGGCCTTACTATCATATTTGATATTCGTTACTAAACTGTTTTCATTCTTTGTCTGGTTGAAGTTACTTATCATCATACATTTGTACATGCGCATCTGGGTTTTTTTTTCGATATCTTTTCTCATCCTAATAAAGATTTGCTTTTCACCAAAATTAAAATATATAGATCTACATTAAATTATAATAACATGCTTGTCTATATTATGGGCATGAGTCAAATCTGCATTTGGTTAGTTAATTTGACACCTACAGAAAAAGTAAAATCGGCACCTGGTCAAATCATCATCTAGTAAAATCGGCACATATTCAAAGTCATTTCAACATTTGATTAGTCAATTTGGCACCAAATACTATTTTTACCTTTTTCTTTCCTTTATATTTGAGGTATGGAGAGAATAGTTTTTGGTTGTTATGTGTTAAATAAATATAGATTCTACCACTGTATCGAGTGAAATATGATATTTATCCACTCAAGACAGTTTCAAATTTAAAACGTAGGCTTGCTGAGCGTTTTAAATATTTAAAATTTAACTGTCGAGAGTGGATTATACAATATATATATAATAAAATATCGTATTGCACAAGATATGGTGGTGGAATCTGTTTCTCTAATGGCTTTTAAAGGATATGCAGACAAATTCAATCCTTCTTTTCGAATGATCTGCAAAAAGATGTGTTCTTTTTATGTGACGTCATCAGACATGGTCGCCTTGTTTCATGACGTCAAAATAGGAAATTCAGAGGAAAGCAAGAAAATTTGACGTCATAATTGAATTTTGACCAATGAAGAACTGAGATCAAACGAACCACACGTTGATTAAATAAAAATAATCAACAGGTCAGGAAAAGGATAAATCGTGTAAGAATTTGAGAAATATATATACAGTGCATGGCCAAAAGTATTCGTCAACTTCCTTTTTTTTTTGAGAAATATATATACAGTGCATGGCCAAAAGTATTCGTCAACTTCTTTTTTTTTTCTTGTCTATATATTTCATATTAATCCACATTTAAAACAAGAATTCTCTTTAAGGCATTTATTGTTGGATTTTTACAAATATTAAAGACGCAGAATTGTCTGAAACACATTTTTTTAATTTGGTCATAGTTTTGTTGTCAATAATACTTGTGTTTATATCATCATTCTAAGTCAGAAATCGAATACACTCCTCAACAAAAATATAACAAAACACCAAAAATAAACAAAAAAGCCTGTGACAATTCTGCTTCTATTGATCCTAAGTTGATTAAAATCTAACCAGAAATGTCACCACAATATTTTTTTGAAGAGACCGATTTCATTGAGCCGCAACTCCTCTGAAACCATGCAAAGTCGGAAATATTTGTGATATGGCGTATAAATGTAGTGTTTTGTACTTCCTAAATTTGTCTTTGAAACAATCTTTTTTCACAGAAAACGCCAATTATTGAGAAAATATCCAAATTCGGAGACTGTTATCTATCCGTGTCTTATACGCTTTCGTGCATGCTCAGTGGACGTACTGCCTGCGAAATCCAAGTGAAAGTAAGAAGAGAAAATAGGACAGTTAGGCCCATAAGGATCCTGTATTGTATTGTAAGTGCATCATTTTACAAAATTAAACAACATCCACCCTTTTTACTCAGGTGCAGGACTGTCCAAAAATGAAATGGGCGTTGAACGTGTCAAAGTGATCCTCCCCCCTTTAATGTGTAAATACAGGCACCCGACGTCCGGACCCCTCCCCTTTTTTATGTGTAAACACAGGCACCCTCGACACTCATTGTTTCAACACTTGCCCAATTGTAACGCGATTTCGCTGGCATCTTCTAGTATAGTAAAAAATCACAAGTGACAAATACTTTTGGCAATGTACTGTATATTGTTTTGGCAAAACTTACAATTTCAGAGGTTAATTAAAAATGTACATTGCGTACATTGTTAAAAAATTTGCACATGTAATTAAGCAGTTAGAATACACAATAAAGAATAATCAGTTGGTTTGACTAGGTGCCAAATTGACTATACTGGATGCTGATTTTACCAGATGTCGATTTAACCAGGTGCTGATTTAACCAGGTGCTGAGGTAACTAGAATTCTACACTATCAAGGGTTTTACACTTACATAATCATATGGAATATTACAAACTATTTACTTCTCCCGTTTTCTGGCACCTGGCATCTGAATGTGCAGAAATCTTAAGTTTGTACTGTTCCTCAAATATCAAAGTGAGTTTTGTTGTCACAATAATAACACTTAATATAAGTCAAGTACATTGTACTTGTGTACTAAGACATCCGAGGTCGACTACCTTCCTTTGACTTTCCCCTTATGTACAGTAAGACGCAATACTCTTGCAATTTATCAACTGACACTGAAAAAATGAAATGATGATCAGAATTCAATACATTTTTCGTAAACTTGTGACAAAATAAAAAGGGGGGTTTGTTTACTATCTTTTCAAGTACACAACTTATTGTTGGCGTATTTCTTACCTTTTACAGGTAGGCATTTTGTTAAAATAACTTGTATACTACTCTTAACGCTAATTATCTTTCATTAGAGTCAATATAAACGGTTAAAATATTATATTTTAGACGACCCATTTTCGATCCGTTCATTCTGTCCTAATTTCGTTGAGAAAATATCTCAATCACTTGAGTGTTTGCGGAAACGGAACTTTGTAGTAGGACAGGTAATACACAATACGGTACATACACTTCGAAACGTTTCACTAATGACAGGTGCGCATATGTCGTGTAATAAATAGGTCGTGCACTGCGACTAAAGTAAAATTTGCTCACTTTTTAGGCAAAACATTATTGTTTAAGGAAATCAGTCATTAATGTTAGAGAAAGCAACATTAACAGAAATATAAATTTGATGACGTAGATGCTTAATAAATTAATCAAGAAACTGTAGTTACTGGTTGTCGTTGGTTCATGTCTGTCATATTTGTTTTTCGTAAATTGTTTTGCTATAAATTAGGCGTTAATTGTTTCATATTTTTCATGTTGGTAAAAACAAAGATTTGTATAGTACTATACAAATCCTTGGTAAAAACAATGGTCACTTTATGCAATTTGCTAGTTCTGAATGCAACTATATCTGGGACTATTATACTAACTAGACTATATGAAATATTTTGTATATAACTTTTAATAAAACTATGAAATCAATATTCGAGAATCATATCTGTGATATTTCTTTTCCTCTTTCGATATAATTTACTCTCAATTCTAAATGACTGTTTTCAGATATAACCTTTCTATGATTTATACTCTCAACGGATGGCCGTTAAGTCAAATACCAACCCAATTGAATCCGGTCTAACTATTATGTGAATATGCAGAGACATATATACACATATGTGTATATATATGTCTCTGGAATATGTAAGTGAATTTATTTATTAACGAACTTTTCCACACCAGGGTCATTTTCAATAAGATTTTATTTTTTTCACTCTAATTTTCACAGTTTCACAGCTTATGTAAATAATTTGACGTTCGAATTTGATAATCGTGCACGAAGTTATGAATGTCCCAACTCAGAACCCTGTAATTCAGTTGCTGTTTCTCATATCTTTTTTTTTCGTTTATTAACTTAGCATATTCCGGTAATTGGTTTTCACGTTTGAATTGTTTCATCAGTTGTTTCACATTTTGTTATGTCGAGTCTTTTATAGCTGACTATATGGTGTGGGGTTTCTCATATTTGAAGGCCGTATAGTTACCTCCACATCATTTTGATGTATAGTTGTATCATTGGCAATTATGAGGGTCTGGATGGGGTTTACAGAATAGAGAATAATGGACTAAAAGTGCAGAATGATTCAGTCAGTCGCGTGGTTCAGATACAAGATCACTGTCTTTTACAGACATGATATAGATATAAAAAAGAGGATGTGGTATGATTGCCAATGAGACAACTCTCCACAAGAGACCAAATGACACAGAAATTAACAACTATAGGTCACCGTACGGCCTTCAACAATGAGAAAAGCCCATACCGCACAGTCAGCTATAAAAGGCCCCGAAATGACAATGTAAAACAATTCAAACGAGAAAACTAACGGCCTAATTTATGTACAAAAAATGAACGAAAAACAAATATGTAACACATAGAGTCCATAATTTACTATTGGAAAAACTCATTATTTGGATACAAAATTAAGAAATTAAGAAATGTCAGACTGTACTTTTACGATTTACAGACAGTTTTATTTACATCCAGTCTCAGTGTAGTATTGGTTAAATTGTGGAGGCAAAGTGCGCACGGATGATAATTCTAATTCATCAAGAACAAACGGATGCATAACAGAAGACAGAATAGACACACCGATCTGAACAACCCTGTTTTCTTCAGCGGGGTCGTGTATAGTATATTTATACATGATTGACGATGAACAAAACATCAAGAAAAGACAAAAAGACTGGTCTTCTGCAGATTTCCGTAAGTCCCTCAGCAATGGTAAACACGCATATCAAATATATGGCATAAAAATGCACAAAGCCATGCACGCGGGAAAAAATTCGATATTGACTGGAACATTTTATTACGTGAAGTATTTTGAAAGGTTATAAGAAATGAATTTGAAAGTGATTTTAAAATGTTCACCAGAGCAACAGTAGTCAGTTGTTATGCTACACATTTCAATTTGAAAATATTTGGATTACTCAAAGTTTTGTAAACGATATATGGTTAGAAATGCATTACAGCTGCGATTACATGACCAATTCAAACAGTACTGGAATACACAATTACAAGAGTCTACAAAAGTAGTTAATTACAAAACTTTTAAGTTAGAATTAAATTTTGAAAAACAATATTTTAGGATCTTGGATCTAGGCGAATAGATATAAGAAAATGTGGTATGAGTGCCAATGAGACAACTCTCCATCCAAGTCAAAATTTATAAAAGTAAACCAGTATAGGTTGAAAGTACGGTCTTCAACGCGGAGCCTTGGCTCACACCGAACAGCAAGCTATAAAGGGCCCCAAAAATTACTAGTGTAAAACCATTCAAACGGGAAAACCAACGGTCTAATATATATCTATATAAAAAACGAGAAACGAGAAACGCTTATGAAGCACATCAACAAACGACAACTAATGAACATCAGATTCCTGACTTAGGACAGGTGCAAACAATCGCAGCGGGTTTAAACGTTTTAATGGTACCAAACCGTCACCCTTATCTGAAACAATTGTGTAACATCACAACATAGAAAGACACACTATAAAACATCAATTGAAATGGCTTAACTCAATCAAAAGACATATTAACACCAGTGAACATACACTGAACAAATAAATTTGATCTATGATACAATGTAAATACAAAATGTATTATTTTATGTAAATATAGAACCACAAACCACAGCCTCCCAATAGAAACAGGGAGGTGGAATAACGTTAATAGAAATGATAGAACATGTCATCTTTGTACTCTTGGTAACATTGGAGACGAATTTCATTATCTGCTAGAATGTCCATTTTTTAACGAAAGCAGGAAATTATATCTCGAAAAATAATATTTGATTCGTGTAAATACATTAAAGGTTTAAAAAACTGATGAGCCAATTAGTCAAAAAGTCAGAGCTAACATGATTATGTAAGTTTATAAAGTGTGTAAAAAACATGTGAGTCCTACTAAATAAAAGTTATATTGTTTTGAAACCACTATATTGTATAAAAAATGTTCGTAAATAGATGCATATTCCTGTGCACATATTTTGCACCCTCTCTTTACCTATGTATCTGCAATGCCTATGAGAATAAAGATATCGTATTAAAACAGTATAGGCATTTTAGTAACATGTATTACTTCAACAACATAAGCCAATTAAGTTACCAAAATTGAAGAGAAACAGTACTAGTGAGAATTAACCACACACCATTTGGTCGGTTTTTTTTTCTTTAAATTTTCTCCGTGTCGTTGTCAGCTTGTCTTCGACTTATGCGTTTGAATTTTCTTTTGGTATCGTTTGCCTCTTTTTTAAAACATGGTAAAGTTTCGATATAGGGTCCGTTTCATCATATATTGTTCGTTACCGTTATGCGAAGTACTTCTGCATAAAACGCTATTTCGACTGAGTTGATAGAATATGTCAGTTACTGTAGATGTGACGTCTACGATGTCAACGACATGTAAAATTGGTGCAGTTGTTTTAACATATTTAATGGATTTGTGGTAAACCACATGTTGTCAGTTTAATATGTAAAACAATTTGTTCCGGGAATACGACAAAGAAATAATGCATCGTCATTTCTTGTTTTGCAGAGTCACGATGACTTGAATGCTCCTTAAAGTGCATTTTGTGCCTGATGGGAATGCGGGGAAATTAATAAAATATTCAATTTTAATCATTTTATGCTTATTGCGATCTTAATTTTATATTAATGATTCTTTACATACCCTTATATATTCAGGATATCTTTATCTATTTATAAAATATTCAATATTGAATGATTTCCATCAAACTCATTCTACAAATTTCTTTATAGAACATATTAAGATGCTTTTATGCAAAAAATAATTTACATATAGGTAATATGGACGTCTCTGCAGTCACGTATACCATGTATACAGAAATAGTATTTGTGTGATAAAATCTGCATTCTATATTTTGAAAAACGTCCGTTTTGCTATTGAGGACTTTCTAAGGCAAGGGATGGTACATTCTTTTGTTATTATTTACGTTGATAAATTTTATAAGTAAAAGTAAAAGAAATATATGTCCCAATGACGAACCAGTTTCAGAAATTGAAAAAAGGGGGTGCTCCCCGAGACTTCCACAAAGCTTAGCTAAGCATGTCTTTTTGTACATCTGTTCTGATCAAGAATTTTTATATAACAAAATAGTTGTAAGGTTATGTACATTAAAGGGCTATCTCACGGATTTTTATGGAATTTTGCAAGCAACTAAAACGTTTGACTTGTGAAACTATATAAATCGGAATATCGAGAAAAAAAGGAATTTGTAATTTTTTTAATTTGATATACAATTTTAGGGGGTTCCTAAGTTTTCATGATGGTACATCGTGCATCAAAAAATCATATATTTTTTTATATGTTTGATAAAGGACCCACATGTGATTTATACTAAAAAAAGATTCCGGTGTCCCTTCTTATAGTTGATTCTTAATCAATGAAATGGAAATTTCAAAAGCAATAGAGAAAATCATTTACCCCCCCCCCCCCCCCCCCTTTCCGTAGCATATGGTTTTGAGGAAGGCAGTTTGAGGTCAGATTACTGTTTTTTTGTCGAAATTTGATTTACTTTCTTAAATCACTGAACATGAAAAAATTACAAACACAAAATGCATCATTTTTCAATAATCATGTGCAGTTCCATTTGGTCTAGTTGCTTGTAGATTATCCACGAGATGGTCCATTAACGTACATAGCTGTTACCTGTTAACTGCTATATATCATAAACATAAACATGCTTTTAAATCCTCTATTGAAGAGGGGCGGTATCGCCCATGGCATGAATTAGATCAGACGCCTAAATTGTGTTCCATTTGCAGCTATTAAAATATCGTGATGATAAGCCTTCATATTGCAATAGTTAAGGAAATAAAATATGTTCAAGCTAAACTTCATTGAATATACAATATCTTACCTTTTGTTCATGCATCGCTATGATAACTTCATTG